TAGGATTTTTAAGACGCTTTTTGGTCCAGTTAATGTTGAAAGTATTATTCAAAGAGCTGAAATCAATAGCTGTTGACAACAACAGATCTGTGGATGTGATGAGCTTCATTCTCCACAGGAACAGAGCTATCATCAAGACTGAGCAGCACAAACGAGACCCTCAGCCCCCCTCACTCAGCTGTTAGGAACATTTTGGGTTTTATATGGAATAAGATTTAAATTCAAAGTGCTCAAATGTCCTGTCCATGTGTATTCCTACACAAGTTACAGTTTTTCCCTGGAAGACCAGAAACGCAGGTCACAGCACACTCGTTCACTGGTAAAAGTTGTTGAGATTAAGTCCTGTCCTGGAGGAAGCCGGCATGGCGCCAGTCGCACTTCCACAGCATGGGCCTTTCTCCCGCCCTCTCTGAGCCGGAGGTTTCTTCCTGTTAAAAGGGAGTTTTCCCTTCCCACTGTCGTCACAGTGCTTGGTCGTAGGGGGTCATTTGATTGTTGGGTTTTTCTCTGTATGTGTTATTTTGGGCTCTACCTTACAATATGAAGCGCCTTGAGGCGACTGTTGCTGTGATTTGGTGCTTTATAATTAACACTGATCTGGATTGTGGTCTGCCAGCTGACTGATGGAGCTTTCTTTCCCTGCAGTGCTGATGCCTTCGGCTGATCTGTGAGCTCAATAACTGTGCTGCTAACAGCAGTTTCAGACGTTTCAGAGAAACGTGCACCACGAGAAAGTTTGATGGAACTGCGACGTTTGTAGTTCTGACACGTTTGTTTAAAAAAGCACCAAATTTATTTAGAGCATACAGGATAAAGTCCAAGAATAACCTACGTCAGGTCCTAATGGCACTCTAACAAACTTCATGTGTGACCTCATGATGTGTGGGCGGGGCCTCTGTGACATCATCACCCTCTGTGTTGCAGCGAGGTGTCCACCCTGGAGGAGGAGCTCAGGAAGGTCACCGCTGCCCTGGTGGATGAGTTCCTGGAGCCCGAGAAGAACAACCTGATTCGCCGCCTGGTGTAGCACCGCCTGCTCGTACCTGCTTACTGTTGATGACATCACATCCTGTCATGTGTGAATCAGAGCAGCAGCTGCCTCACGCTGGTGTTGGTGAACTATGAACCCTGAAGAGATTCAGCGAGCGAGTCTTCAGGTTCTTTCGTGTGATTGGCTGTGATGGAAGCTCCTTATGACAAACCTGACGTGGTGTTTGTGTGTGAGAAACATTTCAATCTTATTTTAAGATTCTCTTCATGTTCTGGCAACAAAGCAACACATTAATTTTCTTTAAAACAAAAAGTCTGACCAAAGGACAAAATGAAAACGATCAAAACTAAATATCGAAACAGGACACGAGCAGAGCTCAGCAGCAGTGCATTCTGGGAGTTGGCTCTGAATATTCTTTTTGTTGTTGTTGTTGTTCAGCCATCTGTTCTTTTCAACCAAATTTAAATGAATAAAATCGGCAGGCAGGGCAATTAAATTATTTTATTTATTTTTGTGTAAAAATGCCAAATATTTGTTGTGACAGTAAAATCTGCTGTTTTTTATTTTTATCCAGTTCTTGATGTTTTATGTTAAACAGATCGTAGAAGCAGCTGTTGCTGATATTTATTTTAGATATTGGTGAGAAATAAAACAGAGCTGAGTTTGTTCTGATGTCACGTTGACTGTTCGTTGGCCTGAGGTAATTTATTTTTCTACTCAAGGAGATTAAAGATGTTTATGTGCGAGGAGGAGCTGCTGTTTCTGCTGTGGCGCATTCGGCTCCATGCAGATGCTTTTATTTTGTTAAAGAAATGGTTGACGACAGCGTGATGCCTCATCTGTGTATTACTGTCACAGCTTCTCGTACTGAAAATGAAATAAAAATACTCCTAATGTGGTTCTCTGATTACCTTCTCTCTCCAGCTCTGTTGAATTTGAGCCGTGAAGGATTAAACAGGATCCATGTTGATGTGATTTGGTTGG